TCTTCTGACTTTAATATCTAATCTGGGTCAGTTTGTTAACCAAAGTGCTAATTAGTTTATTATTAGAGTTGGCACGGATCGGTCAATAGTCAAGCTTGACCAGACTAGTTTGACCAATTTGACTAGTTGGTCAAAGGGTTTAGTATTGGTCAAATTGGTCAAAGAATATTTAAATATATAGTATACATATGCATATATATTTCTATATATATTTACTTTGTATACTAAATTTATTTATTTAATAGACTAGAACATTTGACCAATTTGACCAGACTATTTGACCAATTTAACCAGACCAGTTTGACCAACGAATTTTTGGTCAACTAGTGATTTGATTAACCCTGTTCATTATATAGTATAGAATCATTATTATTAAAACAGTTTTGTATTTATATTCTACTTCATCTGTCTAAAAATAAAAAGTATAAACAATGCTGATCTTTTAAAAGAAGTAAGCTAAAATGTCTACTTTTTGTTGAAAATTTTGGTAAAGTCAACAAGATATGAAAGAGAGAAAAAGAACTCTTAAAACTATCAAAAAAGTATAAGTTTTTTTTTACTAGAATTAACAAATATCTAAGCCTATACAGTACTAAGTTTTTCTGATAAGTAATAAACTCTAAACTTGTTAGCAAGTAGTATATAAAAACTACTTCTAAACAACAAATGCTATGCTTGTAGTGAGTGATAAACTTTGAGGCTATTAGCAAATAGCATATGAGAACTACTTCTAAATAATAGCTGCTGACTTAGTCTCTTTTTCTATATTTTATATGAGAGTTAATGACTTTACTTTAATGTACTATATTTTTTTTCTAGTAGATAGTTTTTTGGAAATTGTGGTTTAAGTGATTATTAGAAAGAGTTGCTATATAGAATTTAATTCTTTTTATTTAAAAGATATAGATTAAGTTTAGTGTATAATTTTTAAATTAATAAAGTATTTACAATTAAAAAACTCTTTCTAATAATCACTTATACCAAAATTTCAACTAATGAAAAACAAAACTTTTGTTAAAGAGACGTGGTCTTATAATGTGGTTTATCTAGAGATTAACTTTCTGCTATAGAGAACTTTTTTAAAAGGATATTCGGCATACAAGCCAGAAGTATTATTATACAAGATAATTGGCAAGTAGTGCTCTTGTATGAAAAATCTTGATAAAGAGTGAAAGTCTTATAGCAGACTTCTACTTCATCAATGAAGCTTGAAGGCTATTACTTCAAAGAAGAACACAGGAAAAACAACAGAAGTTTTGAATTTTAACACACTTTTTAGAAGTTTTGAAAGTACCTACAACTAAAGATTTTTCACCATATTTTTGCTATTTTGAAACATTTTAAAAATTTTGGCCAAAAAGTGAGAAAACTGATATACTTTTTTCAAAAAATCAGTAGTGTTTACTTTTTCCAAATTAGGATATGTTTACCAAAATGAAATCTCCTATGAGCTTATTTAGATTATACTTTGCCAAATAAACAATAACAATATATTAGAGATTAGAAGAATCATATATAAAAATTTCTTAATGTTAAATATTTCTCTTATTTTTTTTTTCACTTTTTTTATTATATATAGTATTAGGTTAGATTTTATTCTATACAATATTATATAATTTATATAGCCTAGTATAGGCAGAAATAGTACTGTTATAACTGTTTTTTTTTTAACCTTTTTTTTTTTTGCTCTTTTTTTTTCTTTTGTTTGTTTTTTTTTTGGGTTGTTTAGTTTAATTTTTTTTTCTTTTTTAATATTCCTTTTATTTTGTAAATTTCCTATGTTTTTTGATAGAATTCTTCTATCTAGAAGGCTAGGAAAAGAAGGTTGAAAAAGAAAACAGTTATAATAGACTAATGAATCAAATTGGTAAACTAGGATGGGTTGGTTTGAAGTAAATCAAACCAGACCAGAGAGATTAAACTCATTTTTGGCAGATCACATATAGGTGCTTATAGTAACTAAGTAAGCTACATACCTATATTTTTAAAAATATTCTTTTTTCTTCAAATTAAATTAATGATCAATAAAGCATAGATATATGATATGATTATTAAAAAAAAAAAGAAAGTGTTTACAATAATATAGTACTTCTTTGTATAATAAATAAACTTAGATTTTCTTTAGTATAGCTAGACAATATAAAAATATTATAAGATTATAATATAAAAAACTCTAACTCTAACTCTAATCTAACTTTAATATAAACTATAAACCTTTTTTTAACTCTAACTATTCCTAAATTTGCCTAAATTAGATTAAATAGTTATTTAATTATATTATAATCTTATAATAATTTTACTGTATATTGCCCAGTTATACTAAAAATCAACTATAAATTTTGCTTTTAAATTTTTTTTATATAAAACCTATTTTACTAAATGTATATATATTGTGATTAGCAATTTCTATTAATTTTAATAGTTTTAAAAAATTTTATTACAATATACTTGATTAAATATTTATATTTTTAAATTCTATATAACACATTATACAATATTAATTAAATATATATACAGTCAAACCCCTCTATAATCACACACCTGGGATACAAAATAGCGTGATTGTGAAGTGTGACAATTATAGAGGTCAAATTTATTCTATTTAATAATAGATTGTTTGTAAAAAAATGTGCTTATAAAGAAAATGTGCTTATATAGGAGGTGACTATAGAGAGGTTTGACTGTATACTATATATATATATATACTATATATATATATATATACTCTATATATATATATATACTATATATATATATATATACTCTATATATATATATATACTATATATATAAAATTTTTATAAACACCTAATAATACCGTAAACTATTTAGCTATATACTTTTATCAAGCAAAAACTATTTTTTTTGTATTCAATAGTACAGTATATGCTGTAGTTTATTTTTAGAAAAATACTGTATACTTACGATATATATATTTTCAAATAACCAATAGGTCATTTTGCTCTTTTATTAACTTGAGTCACGAGATTATTATAGGTCATTTACCATCCCTGATTTAGGGCTCCTGAAGTAGTTAAACGAAAGCAATAGTCACGTGATTAATGCAAAAAGTAGCAAAAATAGTATCTTGGCACAGAACAACGTCGCTAGCTATTTTGTTCAAAAATAGCGCTATTTCAGACGTCTCTAATGTAGCAATGATCTAACAATGATCCCAATTATATTTTTAAATTAGAAAAAATAAGAGAAATAGTTCATTTTGGATATAGTTTATATTTTGTCAGTTTTTGTAAATCTACCTAAATCTATCTATAAGCGTTTATTAGTTTTTATAGATGCACGTACTACGTACGTACGTAACTTGATACTGATCATTTAAATCATTTAAGGGTAACGAACTTTGTGGCTATTTAAGAGTATAAGCCACAAATCAGAGGATCGCGAACAAAATTGTGCATTTTGTCCGCTTAACTCCACAATATTTGGGGTTGCTCAATAATTAAAGTTTATACGTACGAAGCGCTTCTTGATAATTAACAATTGCCTCTATTCAACTATTGTAAAAATATACTATCGTTATTTAATTAATGCAAAATAACCTTAAGTCACAGATAAGATTTCGCCAGACGAGAAAGATTGTCAACAATATAAACATTGTTTTCTATTTTGATAGAATCTACACATCATATAACCATATATTAATTTCGTTTTTCAAAAAAAACTTTTTGACAAGATGTGGAGTACATATACATTTTGACATACGCATCTTATTATCTGAGGCCTTTGAGAAATAAAACCGTTTAAATACTTATATCACACGATTATAGTTTAATAGATGTTTTTTCTTGGCCAATGTTTGTTTGGAAAAAGAAATTTGTTACCATAATAATTTTGGATAGTTGTTTACCATGACGCACTTTGAACAATCATCTGAGTATTCTTGTGCATTATAATTCAAAAGCCCAAAAGAGAAAATTTTTCTTCGGCATTATTGACTTAAAATATTAATTGAGAAATTTATATAAAAACTTTTATGTACGTACGTACTCGTTCCTCTAAGACAAAACTTTTTTTCGTCTTTTTTTTTTCTTTTTAAAAAAAAGGACATCTTTTGTGAAGAATTAATCAATTCAACATTATTCTTTACGTATCGTTATTAAATAGCTATTTAATGATAAAGTTTATGATAAATTTATGATAAATTTATGAAATTTATGACAAAATCAGTGATAAATTTTATGATAACTCCCCGAGTTGATTAAACATACCCGCATTTATTTTTCAAAGCAATTTTAAGGTAAGCAATGCTTTTTTCTCTTCTTTATAAAACATTCGATGGAGGGTTATTGGTGGTCATTTTGTAATACATTATGATACCTGACTCAAGTAATCATATGCTAGTTCTGTGGTTGTAACTGATCTATGACGTTTTAGTACCAAAGGACTGGAAAAAATCAATAAATGTTGAAATGCTTGACTGACATGTGAATTCATCTTTCTTTTTTATCAGAATAATCAAATCCTAAGATATTTTATATACTTAAACCTATCTCACCCATATACCGATTAAATCTCATTTATTTTCCTTTTATATATCACGGTAAGACCCTGTCATTTACACCATTATACATTTCCTCGTGCTTGCGAGAAAAAAAATAAAATAAAAAAATAAAGAGGCAGGAGGAACTAAAACGTAAGAAAGGGCGTTTGACTATAACTCTACTTTCTTTACCTTTTTCATTCCTCTTGCTTTTTTTATGATCAAGCTGCAGCACTGTATTACTTTTAGTCTTATATTAAAAACCTCTTATACGCCTTATCATTTTTCCTATTGTTTGCATAAATTACGTTTACCTAATACCTTTCTTCTTATTAATTGTCATCGATAAAAGATTATAATTATTAACTAACGCCGTATGTATCTACATATTTACTTCCGATTTTTTCTTTCTATTTTTTGGGTTGGGTAGATATTACGAACTCTGCTACAATAAATCTATTTCAAAGAAGCTAAAAATTTCCTTCTCTCCTCGTTTCAAATGTTTGTTTACAACTTTATTTCGAACTTAGTATTTGGTGTTACTGAATTTAAACAGTCTAAACCGCAAAAGACTGCTCAAATACCTATAAATTTATCTAGAGGAACTTTCCATTCCACTTACTGCAGTAATCGCAAGCCCATTAATCCACACTCCAAATATTATCAACAACTGAATTCTAATCAACAACACTTCCATTATCATCAATATAATAAACAATATTCGAACAAAAAAAGCTCCTTCCAAAAGGCACGCTACTCAAAATCACCAAAAATGCCTCCAGCCGCATACTCAACCTTTCATACTCATTCTACAACAGCCTCTGCTTACGTTGCTGCTACTATGAATTCACCTAATACCAATAACTCTTCAAATAAAACTCCTAATAACAGAAGGGTCATTGATAATGATTATAGATATAAAGTTGTAGATGATATTTGTGCTGAAACAAATTTATATACTATAATTGGTGTTGACCGGGGTTGCAGTTCAGATGAACTTAGAAGAGCTTATATCAGTGTAAGTCTTTCATCCATACCTTTTTTTTTTAATGTCCGTATGAAATTATGTTCAATTATGGCATAAAAAGAAGCCTTGTTGTGTTGATAGCCACAAATTTTTATATTAACCAAAAATTGTACCGCGATCTTAAGATTTAATATAAATTGCGATTTATGTAGAGGTCTCGGATCTGTCATCCTGATAAGTTTCCTGAATATCCAAAAGCAACTGAAGCATTTCAAAGTATTCTTTTTTTCTATTTTTACATGTTAATTTTCTTAAATCATTTTCTAATATATATATATATTATACTACAGAATTGGCTTATGCTTATGAAACACTGAATAAACCATCAACGCGTCGTGCTTATGATATATCAGGAACTAGTGATTTAGGTAGTGTCAATGGTACTGGTGACGAAACGTTACATGGTGTTTTATATCAAGTATTTATTATTAATTTTATTCTAATGTTTGCCCTTATACCATTTTAACTTGTTATTAATTTAGCTTCATTTTTTTCAAAATAGTTGTTTTTGGAATTCATGGACGGTGATTTCGAAATGATTAGAGCTTTAGTTAGTAAGTAATACATATATGTGTTGTTAATTGATTCTCTGTTTTTTTTTTTTAGAAAAAAAATCAGTATGTTTATTACCTGTCAATACTTTTTAATATTTATTAATCCCATATCTTACAATTCTTGCTGTTTAGATGCATTAAATGAAGGTAATCCTGGTCTCAACTTAGGTGAAGATGCTATTGAGACTTTGGAAACTGCCTTCCGACGAATGAGAGAATTACTTTTAGGTATGTAAAAATTTTTTTCCTTTTATATATATATATATATAATATACAATTTATTCGACTCTACATATATATACTCTAACTTAACTGTTAATGTTATTTAGCTGGTAAAAAATACGTTAAAATTGTTCAATTCGAATTAATCCGTCTATACGAAATTCAACAACAACTTCGTACTCTTTCATACTTTGATGTACTTGGTCGTCTGCGATTAACCATCCAACTTGCTCGAATAACGCTAACAATACCTTTATTAATTGATAATTCAATGAAAGCTGAATTTGAGCATTTAGGTGGTAAACCTGGTATGAATAAGGGACTATTAGGTGATGGTATGGCTAAAGTCATTGCTGGTCTAGTGACTATTTTGGATCGAGGTGAAAAGTTTGTGTAAAACTTGTAGATGTGCGTCAAAAATAGATTTTGTGTCTGATCAATCTAATTTTATCGATTCAAAATTTTAATTGGCACAATTTCTAAATTTACGTACGGCATTTATACTTGCTGACGACAACGTATACGAAAATGACAGTTAATTTTACAAAAATTCTTAATATATATATATATATGTTACATTATACACATCAAAAATAGGTTTTGGTACATATTAAATGATAACTATAATACTAAAAATTTTTTTCCTACTCCATTTATTATCTTTAAATTAGTTGTAGATTTTACCATCTCAACAGTGTAGTCAATTTCATATTTGTATTGAATAATTTTTGTTCGAACTTTTTTTTGATCGATACGCGTTTATTGCATATCGATCTATTTATGTTTATATGATATATTTATGGATTTATTATTATTCTAACACTGATTACGCTTTATATAATATATTAACGGCGTAAACCGAAAAAAAATATAATTCGGGTTAAATGTATAAAGCTAAAACTGAGTCGAATATAGTTGTTTCGGTTCTAATTCAATTGTTAAAAACAAATGCTACGTAGACAATAGACTCTTGAAACATTCCTAAATATTAATGTATTATGTTACTGCATGACTAGGAGGAGGCCGGATGAATCGAATCGATTAACTATAAACGTTTCAATTAGCAAACTCCTACAGGGAGATCCCCAAAATTCCGGGTCGGAAGCTTCGGAACTCTCGTTTGAAGGGTCAATTTTGCCCCAAGATCACTAAGAATTTTACTAATGAAACAATTAAGTGAAAAGTGCCCAGCTGATAATTTTACTATAGTCTATAACTCTCGCTAACCCTAACCCAGCCCTAACCCCGACCCTAACCACGACGAATTCCGGCCATTACGACCCGGAAATTTGGGGATCCCCCTGTAGAAAATCAACAAGCATAGCTATGTTCACATGGCTGTGACTTTATAAAAAAAAAATTCCCAGTGCTATTAATATACCATGTCTTACTTGTATATGCTTTTGACATAGATTTTTTTATTTAGAAATCAATCGATTTATTTTGTATACCTTATATGGGTTAATTCTGAATTAAGTCACAATTTGAAAGAATAATCGTATTATAATGGTTATAAAAATAAAAATAAAAATTAAGCAGCATATATTTATTCACGTATATATTGTGTGCCAGGTTATGCATGTTGCCGATCGTAGATCATCAATTAACCTGACGCTCCTCCTATTAATAAATTCGAAGGCTATAGTAAAGCATCCGGTGTACATGTTATTTGAAAAATCTGCCGATGATTATCACCGACCAATTTAGAAAATCAAGACCGACAATTTAATCGAATATTTACTTACACGAATTGACCAAAATTCAACATATATGGGAATCCACAAATATTTAAATTTGGAACAACGCCAAAATTCGCGAAAACAATCAAAATTTCAACAGAAAAGCTTTGATTATTAGGGATAGTTAATTTAGTGGATATATTATCTCCACAACAATCGAAATTTTTATATTATACCATGAAAAATGAAATGTACTATTACTCGAAAATGTATTTAAACAACGATATTTTACCTTAGTTATTCTTGTGATTCATTACCCGATTTCTACGAATTTTTACAATATTTTACCGATTACCACTTACAACTTTCGATATATGTTTGAAACATATTTGATAATAATTTCTATTATAATACTTATACCACTTTATATCTCAATCGTGATTATTAACTACCACTTTACCTTTCGACAACTTCGTTAGCAATACGTAAAACTAGGAACATATAATTTGAATATTAGTTTAGCTATACCTCGTACTTCTATAGCATATATTTTCTTATATTGATATCATATTTTATTTACTGTATTAAATATTATAACTATCGCA